CAAACAAGAGGTTCCTTCTTCAAATTGTTCTTCCAAAAGAGATTAAGCTTTAGAGGACATTAAGACAATCTACCAATGTTTGATCCAACTGAAGAACTGGCGCCCACTACAATTCTAATATAAAAAGCGGATCTAACATTGAGTCCCCTGAATTCTTCTTGTTCATGATCAATTGCCCATTGAATCAAACCTGTTCTATAATCGAACACCCATTGTCCTCGTAGTTTTCCCCCGGAAAATAGGGTCAAGTTCTAGTCTGTCCTTGTTGAAATTCCACATTGTTTTTCCTCTCTTTGCAACAGCAATGGTACAAAGACTTCCACTAATACTATTGTCACAGCTCTACCTGTTCCCACCGATGAAAACTGTTCTCCTTTTGAAAAATGCAGCAGTGGCAACCACGAAAGGATGACTAGGATTCTGGAATCACTGAGCCAAGGCCCTTCCATTCTTAAATGAGATTGAAAATCAATCTCTCAGATGGAAGCAATGGAGTAAGCTTCAAATTTCTGGTGTTTTTCATTATCAAAGTTTGCGGCAGATGATGGAAGCACTAGATTTTCAACCCCCCTAAGTCGTAATGAATTAGAATCAAAGAATGGAGGAGCCAAAACTACTAGTTGTATGGAACTGAGGTGGGAGAGGTTCTGGGGATACCAGAAGATGTCTTAAGAAATTACCAGCAATGGGAGAAAAAGAGAAGAAAATGAGGAGGAAGAATGTAGAACATGAGAGAAAAGAAGCGAGGCAGGAAAAATTAAATAGTCACCTAGACCAAAATTAATATAAAATTTATCAAAATTGTCAAATCACATAAAAGCTGCCACATCATCTTTCCATTAGACAACTAATGGTTAAACAAGCTCAAAGACCATTTAAAACAATTTTGTACTTCAGAGACTAAAAAGACACCTCACACAAACCTCATGGAGCAAAAGTATATTTTGACCAATCCAAAATAAACACCAAAGAGTTGAGATGCGAAGACATAGTATTCACAACTTTACAGCGTAATGATGAAATTTTAGGAATGCATAACTAGATTCCATCACATGTGTTGTTTTTTCCTAAGAATGAATAAAGTGATAATTACCAAAGAAACCTGGGGGAAAACTCATAATTACCAGAGAAACCTAGGAGAGAAGAAGAGGGTAAATTTTATGATTTTTTAAGCTGGCTGAGGGAAATTCAATTACTGAAAAGGAGGGTGTTGGTAATAGCTGGTTTTGGGAGAGTTCTCAGTTCAAGGTGATAGGCGCTATAGCTACTTTTTAAGGTGATAAGCGCTATGGCTACTGGATTACAAGGTTAGAGGTTCTTCCAGGATCCAAGCAAATATTCAGAAATTGGGGTTCAAAATTCATTCTTTCCTTTTGCCTAGATTTTGAAGATACAATGTAAAAGTCTCTTGAATTTTCTTTGCCTTGCTCCTTGTATTAGCTCATTTGAGTACAAGGAATGGATCAAAGGCTGCACATCAAAAGGCCATTCATAACTGGTCCCCAATAATTTCATGTATGCTGTATGGAAAGTTAACTTTCCAACAAAAGTCAATATAATGGTACGGTTAATACATTTTGAGGGTTTAAACTCAACTATAAAACTCCAAAAAAGATGGCCATATCTAGTTATGAACCCAAGTTGTTGCAGTTTACATTTAAAAGTAGAAAAGAAGCACAATCATCCGTTCTCCCATTATTCTTATGGGAGAAAATTTTGGGTCGGTGTTTCAAGGACTAAATTTCCCAAGGGTCTTCAACTTGGCAGCAAAAATAATGTTTTCTTGAGATTGGTGGCATTTAGTAGAAAAAGATGGCTAAATTATCATGGTCAAAGCTACAATCTTTGAGTGGTTTTTGAACAAAAGAGAAATGGTATTAAAGAAAACGAGAACTGTAGGAGGAAAGATTCAAGATCATCAAACACTATATGGCTTTTTATGAAACTACTAACAAGTTGTTGTAGGTATGATGCTTCAATTTTTTTTTTCTTTTAACAAAACTTGAGACAGTTGCATTGTAACTTTTCAAACATCAATGGGCTTACTATAGGATAGGACGATAGAAAACAATTCTTAAACCATCAACTTACCTGCCAGTCATTTTTAGCATGTGACTGACACATATAGAACCGGTGGCATACCATCATGGCACTTGCAATTGTTACTTGAGGCCTGAAAGGTATATAAATAAAAAATCAGCACATCCACGTGAAAAATTGGAACTAGTCCTGATTATTGATATAAGATAAAATATTACATAAACTAAAATCATCAATATTTAAACAACACAACTGGTCATCAAAAAACAAAACACCAGATCCATTCCTCTAGAGGCTGGCAAGTGAAGAGAACGGAAATGGCTAGAAAGTTATATGAAGAATCACATTATAAGAAATATTTCTCAGCTAAAAGAATACAGCAGAAGAAATAGTCGAATCTACTTAAATATGAACAGAGTACATTTGAAGAAATTTTCTTGTAATAATTGTGAATACTTGAGAGTTAGATGGTGGTGGTGGTGGAGAAAATGGAGAATGATTGGAGGGAGGAAAGACTTTGTTATGCAGATAAGCAAGAAGCACGATGTATACAACAGAAATATAAAATGCTGTTCTAGAAATCAGAAACGTGTTAACAGAACATATTTCAGCATTCAGCATCAGAAAAGGCATGGTGCTGTTCCAGCCTACTCACCAAGCATGTGTACCCCTATGATCTAGATCCTTGCTCACATATGAGTTTATGATTCATTCCTTATATGCTCAATTTTCCAATAAAATCAACAACAAAGAAATGGTGCTTACTACGGGATCTTTTTGTTCAATGGACCACACCATGGTTGTCATCAACAGTATGTAGTATTCATCTAAAACTATTTTATTATTTGTTTATTATCATGAATTTTTGTGACAAAAAAGTAAACACATAACGGGGAGAGATGGAAAACTTGGAAAAATTGCAATGTGTTTGGGTGTCGTCTTACACTATATAAATAAAAATTCAAATAATATTTTAGAAATAAAAACCCTCCTAAGCTTATTAGACCAACTCCAGTGCAAATTCAAACACAAGCATATCCACATTTCCAGCTGTTCTCTTCCTAGGCTTGGCTCTGTAACAAAACTTAATCAAAATGCCCCATGACACTATGAAAGCATTGACTAGCAACAATAATGGACCGAGAAATAGAACTTGTGTGCGTCAAAACAGGTGGTGACTGAAGAATGAAGATAACTACAATTAAAGATAGTTTTTAGGAAGTGCCTTGCAAAAATGGGTTATCGAATTTTTTTCTTTGAGCAAGTTAAAAAAAAAACGTATTAAAGAAACCCAGAAACTGTTACATTCGTAGAAACTATTGAAGTCTTACACTTTCAGCTTCATGCCAAGCTCCTGAAGAAACAAGCAATATGACTTCCGCAGTTGAGACTCTTTCTTGAAATCAACTCCATCCTTCCTGGATGGAGAATGATTTTCAATTTCCTGTCTGGAGAAATACCATTTGCGTGCAGAGATCAGATGCTCTTCCTGCACACAATGACTAGGTGTAGTTCCTGGAATGGCATTCTCAAGATGATTCTGGGGCAGCTGTCTTGCCATGCTCTAAATCTCTCAGCTCATTGAATAGCTTCAAAAAACCGAGCAGTGACCGATGAACAAATGATCATTCTCTTTCCTCAAAGATTGAAAAAAAATACCTGTAGAAAAGTAGAGAGTGGTGAAACTGATAAATCGACTAAAGCTAGCTATCACTGCATCACTTGCTATTAAAGCACGGAACTTTCCACTCCATCCCTCTCTTCTCTCTTTCTTATAACCAGAACTAGTTTGCTAAAAAGTGTTCTCAATATCCACCGAAAAATGAAGTACCAAGACTTCTCGTTCAGTAGGGATGAACATTCTTGTGGAATTCTATGCCAACAAAAATTATACATTAATACTATTCCTACTCATGGAAAGGCGCAAGACTTCTCGTTAAGTAGCCAAAAACTAGAAAGGAAAGCATTGCCTCTACAAAACATGATTGAAAAACCAACTTAGACAAATATACCAAACAAGTTTTTGTTAAAAAGCAGAAAACCAAAACTAAAGACGTCAGCTAATCCACCAAAACAGAAATATAAAACCCTACATTGTAACCGTTGAAGTCCTATTAAGAATCACAAATACGAACAAATTTAAAAAGAAAAAAAAAAAAACGGTCGTCTAAATACTCCAATTACAAGCTAATAACTTGAAGTGAAAACCCCCAAAATTTCAGATTCGAACCATTCTCACTATAAGACAACCCATTCCACGAATCCTAAAACAACCCATAAATCGTTGCCGCCGCAAGCAATCAAGGAACCAAAAAAGGGGTAACAATTAGGTAAGGAAGATGAATTACCTGATGAATATCCAGAAGAGAAGCGAATATTCGGGTTGGGAGCGGAGCAGCTTCAAGCTACACCGGAAACCCTAACTTCCGGCCACCGTAGGAAGAAAACAGCTGCAGAAACACTAGATTGGACTGGACTTGAATTGACTCGTTGCTTCGAAACCACGCAAACGCGCAAACGCTTTTACTTGATGGATCAATGAAATTCTTGGCGGCGAACACAGAGGATGTTCGAGGGTAGAATGTAACACACAACCCGCCGCGCCAAAATCGTAGCTATCGATAATGCAAGGTTTTGTGAATTCCTTTTTTATTTACTTCTAAATAAATAAGGTTTTGCAAGTGATATTTTTAATATTTTAAATATTTTTAATATTTTTAATATTTTCAAATTATTTATAAACCCAATATTTACAATTTTTAAACGACCTTGATTCAAAAAACATGATTAATAGTGTCATTATCGCTTTTTAAAATATGGAACAAAACATTATAATATTTATTATTAAACACCAATAATAAACATAATAAATTTTTAATCTACCCATACTTATTCTAAAATCACTTCTAAATATACTATATAAAATTATCTTAAAAGTAATATAAATATTTTATTTAAAATTTAAATCTAGTGAGTAGGAAATATTTTCTATAAGATAAAAGGGGAAACGAGATTATATTAATTATTCCTGGCTCGCTTAATTCCCACCCCATTTAATATAAATATATTTTCAATTCACGTTAAAAATAAAAGAAAATTAATTTTGAAACTTAATATGTAATATTAAAATTTAAATTTTTAAAAATTAGATTGGATTTTATATTTATTTGTTCTTCGTTAGAAACTTTTATTAAAGTGAAAACATAAACTTTAAAATAATTATTAAAAAATTACGTGCACATTCCCGATGAATCTAAATTGGATCTAAGCCCAATTTATATGGGCCTACGGCCCACCAGTTTTATTGGGCTTTTCAGATTTAAGATGGCCCGTGAAATGGCCACTGATGGGGTAAGAGGGAAAGAAGTTTGGGCTTTTTGTAACTGGACGGCCCCGTTAAAATATTCGGCCCAGTGGCCCCGAAATCAAATTATTGGTTTTAATTATTTACACAATTATAATCCAATAAGTATATTACATTTCATCTATTTATTTATTAATTAATTTTTACAGGTTAATGGTAAATTTTTTGGAAATTACACGTCACATATTAAAATGAAAATTTTCATTATTCGATAAAGTAAAACGTGGCAATTCCAAGACAACAAATTCTTAAATTAAATTAATTAGATGACAAAATATTTTTAATAATAATATTATAACTACCAATGAGGAATAATTGTATTCATTAAATTGAGTAATATTTCGGATTTAATTGCAACTATAATAGAGAGTGTAATTATAATTACAATTAATCCTAACGCTCTTATATAGTTTTTATATAATAACATTAATTTGACATTTTCTTAATATTAAAATTTAATTTTTTTTAGAAAACCAAACCAAAAAATTAAACAAAAATGACCGGGGTCCACGTGTTTTTTTGTCAACCAATCAAAATAAGCCACATCATACCCATTAGCCCTGTCCGCCGTCAAATCCATAAAACTCTCTACAGCCCACCTCAAGCTTCGGATCAAACTCCGACGACGACCCTCCGGCCGCCTTCCCTCAGGCGTCCGAAAGAGGGGTAGTAACCTTCAAGAACAATGGTGAGAGCGCGTGAGCTGACGCCCTTCTCAAACAGAAACATAGTAAAAAAAATTAAGGGCTATATTTTATAATCTAGTAAAAGAAAAGAAAAAAAAGAAGCGTATAAATTATAATTATTCCCAAAAAAGTTGAACAAAGAAATTGGTGAGGGGAATCGGGAAGGTAAAAGTCTAGCTTTATCTATATCGATATCAGTGTAAGAAGAAAATGGGTCCCATGAAGAAGAGGGTAATAATCCAAATCAAGAGCATTGATTATGTTAGATACCAAATTACATGAGTTAATTGAGCTCCTAATTGGATGCCAATCGCAATAACTACCATCAAGCCACTCGCATGTCCTTATCGCAGCTGCCTCGGTCGAGAGCGAATCTCCTTCCCAGCGCATGGGGATCAATTGAACCCACGAGATATCATTTGCAGTCCTAGATGACGGCGACCCATTTGAAAACCCGATCGAATTAGCAAGAATTTATACTCCCACGCTCTCAAATCACTCGATTCCACGCTCTTCTGCTTCAAATTTGAGCTGGGGTTCTGTTAATTTAGGGGTTTTTCCCGCTTTCCCCCACTTGGGGTTCTTCTGTTCCTTCTGATTCTATGTTTTGGGGCCTAATTTTTTAGCTGGGGCAATTAGTTTCATGCTTGGAGTTTGTGTGGCTGCGAGTACGAGAAAGTGATGTAGCAGGGAATTAAGAACGAGGACTTCGCTGCCGTTTCTTCTCTGGAAAGAACTTTGCTCGTTTAAGAACAAGTGGTGATTGGTAAGAACTTAGCTCGTTTCTGTAGTTTTCACTTAGATATGAGTGTTCCTTGTCTGTTCTAACGTTGTACCTTACATCTGTCTGGTTTTGTTGAGCTTCGTTCTAGCTGTTCATAGTTGCATAAACACGTTCTTGATGGTTTTGTCTAGTATTCATAGCTGATTATGAAGGGATTCCTTGATTTAGGAAGTAAATTCTGCTAGTTTTCCTTTGATTTCCAGTGTATGGCGACCCCAGTTGAGCCTCCAAATGGGGTTAGATCTCAAGGAAAGCATTATTATTCAATGTGGCAGACATTGTTTGAGATTGATACTAAATATGTACCCATTAAGCCTATTGGTCGAGGGGCATATGGCATAGTGTGTTCTTCTGTGAATAGGGAAACCAATGAGAAAGTTGCTATAAAGAGGATACATAATGCATTTGAGAATCGTATCGATGCCCTCCGAACGTTGCGTGAATTGAAGCTCCTTAGACATCTTCGCCACGAAAACGTCATATGTTTGAAAGATGTGATGATGCCTATCCATAGGAGAAGCTTCAAAGATGTTTATTTGGTTTATGAGCTGATGGATACTGATTTACATCAGATTATTAAGTCTTCTCAAATGCTAACCAATGATCACTGCCAGTATTTTCTCTTTCAGGTTTGCTGTTCTTAGCTTCCTTGTCCAGTTAGTGTATAGCAAAGTGTTCCCATTTATTTGTTAATCAGCCACAAATTGTTCTGCTTGTTGCCTTGGTGGTGTGTTTTAACTGAAACGAACCGTTCATGTTGCTCTAATTTGTTACCAGCTCGGGATTCGTGTTATTTATCGCTGTTCATTCAGGATGTGGAATGGTATAGTAACTTTCTTACTATTTTGAACGAAATTGAAAGAAACCTTCTAGCTGATATATAGCTTTTATTTGATGTTACATTCCCTTTACCCCGAGCGTTTGGTTGTTCTTGTATCAAGCTAAATGTGAGATCTCGCATCGGTTGGAGAGGGGAACTAAGCATTCTTTATAAGAGTGTGAAAATCTCTCCTTAGCAGATGCGTTTTAAAACTGTGAGGTTGATGGCGATACGTAATGGACTGAAGCGGACAATATCTGCTAGTGGTCGGATTGGGCTGTTACAAATGGTATCAAAGCTAGGCACTGAGCGGTGTGACAACGAGGACACTGGGCCCTAAAGGGGGGGGGGGGGGGGGGGGGGGG